TGCGCAATTTAGAATTTTCTGAATCACTAATTCATCTGGGGGAATATTACTCTGTTTCCAACATTGGGCAAATGTTATTCTGGGTGTAGTCAACAAATATATAAATATATATTTAATTTTATTTCTCTATTTCCCCTTGGTTAATTCATTTCTATACGCTTACTAGCTCACGAAGAAATTTGTACGACAAATGAGGGTGTTATGTATCGTGTTGGAGATCAGTGGGACAAACAGCATGATATGGGCCATATGATGAGATGCACGTGTGTGGGAAATGGACGTGGAGAATGGACCTGCATTGCATATTCCCAGCTCAGAGGTATTTTTGGTTTGGTTTGTTGTTATTCATAATGTGATATACCCAATTAAGAATTAGCACAGTAGGCAGTATGCTAGAATTGGAAAAAACTTGATTTTCCAAATGGTTACTTACAGCTCAAGTAGCATGGTCAGTAGTGAGGAAGACTAAGAGGTGTCTCTGAAGGGGTGCAGATTACCTCTCTTGAATTAATGTACATTTGGAAAAGAAGACTATGGTGTAGGATCAGTTTCATTTAACTGTTAAACTTGTTTCATATATAGCCAACAATGAATAATCATTTAAAGAACTTTGTTTTCTATGACCTGTAGCAAGAAAAAATATCTGAGGAATATACTACAGTTTTAGTCCATGTCCTGAAAACATCATTTCCTTGAAACCTCAGAGAATCATAAGCAAAGCCTTTGTGACAACATATCATGCATGGATCTTATTTATTGAGTGTAAATCTCAGATTAGGTTCATATATCATGGAAATTATGCACAGAGCCAAAACCAATTAAAGGACATAACAAGATATGTGAATAGAATCATTGTTATTTGCAACCTATGATTCTGTAAACTAGATTAGTGGGTTAACACCATATAATTGTGGCTTATTCATTAAATCATTATTAAACAAGGCATAGTTTAACCTAATGAGTGAATTGAGTTACTTTATGATATAGCTCAGTGATGGCAAACCTTTTTTGGCTCGTGTGCCAAAAGCGGGGGGGAGCCAGGGGGGTCGTGCACGGGCGTGCCACACCCATAGTGCTATGTGCACGACCACAGTGCACATGCATCCACAACCAGCGCTCCCCCCCGCCATTTTAGGCGTGCTTTTTTTGCCCTCCCCAGGCTCCAGAGGATTTATAGGAGCCTGGGGAGGGC